GCAGGTCTCCATGCGCATTGCCCAGTTTGTCAAAGTAACTGCTACTTCGGGATGTGCTTTCCCATAGTGCTGCTCCTGGATTGCCCACGCACGCTCAAGCAGGACCTTCAGCTGGCTGTGGTCACCTAGGTCTCCATGTGCATTGCCCAAACTTACCAAAGTCCTTGCTACAAATGGGTCTTGTCGCCAAACTTGTCTTCTGCAGTTTCCAGCAAAGACTCTGCTATTTGTTGGGCCTTGTCTGCAAATCCAGTTCGAAGGTAGACAACTATCAGATTCTCTGCGCTCGATGGTGAGTCTACACTTTTCTCCCCGAAACCGTTCGTGGCAAAGTTGTACGCCAATTGCCCAAAAGGCAGCTCGCACCATGCCTGGTGTTCCTTTGCAGTCTCTGCCAACTTTTGGAGGTGTATCAAGGTGCCCTGGGATACATCACCATCCCCAAAGGGATCTTCTGCATCCATGGCCTGGGGCGTTTGACAAAAGCAAAGCTCGGCATCTTCCACCAGCAAATGGAGCTGAGCAAATCCGAACAATTGCAAAAAAAAATGCTGAATATTTGCCGAGGAACCAAGGCTTTGCACGTGACACGTCACGGTGGGCCCATATGGGCAGCGACTGTTTACGCCGTGAAACCGAAATGCCGCAAATCGGGGGGGTAGTCAGAAGGGACTCAACACACATCCAATCAGCGCAAGTAGAGCGAATCGAGTGCACATTTGACTTTCTCAGCCATTTTGGGTCACGCTGACTCCACTCATGGGCTTCGTGAAACAGTTCTAGGAGCAACGTTGCACAAGTGAAACACCCTACAAAGGAAAGAAGGGGAAGAGAAGATAGAAGAGCTGGGAGGTGGCTGGGTTGCTTCTTGTAAAAACAATTTTAAAAGCTGGCGGTTTAATGCGTTTGATTGTTTGATAATACGGCTTCGATGGAATAAACCTGTGAAAAACGTGGGATGAAAGATCGCTGAAGATATCATTGGGTCACGCAGTTTTGGTTCCTGGAATGCTTGTGGGGACGTGGAGAATGGCGCTGTTCACGAGCACGTGCGCAGCCTGGGCACAAAATGCCCCAAACATCCCCAAACCATCCAAACCATCCAAACCTGTTATCAACAAATGGAAGACTGCAAGACTGATGGCTTGACACATGACATGTGTAATGCGCTTTGGTGGCTTGAGTGGCCTGTGGTATCTGCTGCAAAATCGTTGAACCTGGGGCAGCTTCAATCATGAACGCCCACGAGCGTGAGAAAAACATACGAGTAGGAAAACTACACAGGGCCTGCGTCAAGGCCAGGAAAACCTGAATTTTCTCATCCCGCCCTCTTGGAGACACCTTGCCTATTTCCGCAAGAATGTCTGATTAGAAAATGAGTTTGGCATGATATGGACATTGTTTTCTTCAGATGCGATGTTTGGAAGGTCCATCTGGAACCGCGTCCGTGATGTTCTCTGGGCAACCGAGCCGCTCGGAACCAGCTGCATTTGCAACAGCAACAACAGCAACAACGTCCGCTGGGAGCCTTGGGCACTGAACATCCCAAGAGAACATATGGGAAAACAACAGTCGCGTCCGATGAGAAAAATATTTCCGCAAAAATGTCTGTGATTAGAAAATGAGTTTGGCATGATATGGACATTGTTTTCTTCAGATGCGATGTTTTGAAGGTCCATCTGGAACCGCGTCCGTGATGTTCTCTGGGCAACCGAGCCGCTCGGAACCAGCTGCATTTGCAACAGCAACAACAGCAACAACGTCCGCTGGGAGCCTTGGGCACTGAACATCCCAAGAGAACATATGGGAAAACAACAGTCGCGTCCGATGAGAAAAATATTTCCGCAAAAATGTCTGATTAGAAAATGAGTTTGGCATGATATGGACATTGTTTTCTTCAGATGCGATGTTTTGAAGGTCCATCTGGAACCGCGTCCGTGATGTTCTCTGGGCAACCGAGCCGCTCGGAACCAGCTGCATTTGCAACAGCAACAACAGCAACAACGTCCGCTGGGAGCCTTGGGCACTGAACATCCCAAGAGAACATATGGGAAAACAACAGTCGCGTCCGATGAGAAAATGAGACAAATAAAAACAAAAGATTCCAAGAGAGCCGAATGTTCTTCCATGTTCGTCTTCCATAAAACAAGATGGAAGCCACGAATCCGAATGTATTCACGTTCTTGGACTACGAGTGCAAACCTCTGCAAGAGGAAAACGAACTTTTTTTTCATGCATCGTGCGCTCATACCGTCTCAGCGAAGGCACCGGAGCAACAGTTCAAAAAAAGACAACTCACCAGAACAACAACATCACCACCAGCACAACGAAATCACCACCAGCACAACAACATCACCAGCGCAACGAAAGCACCAGCACAACGAAATCACCAGCGAACAGCACTAGCGCAACAAAATCACCAGCACCAACGAAATCACTAGCACAACGAAATCACCAGCACAACGAAATCACCAGCACAACAACATCACCAGCACAACAACAACACCAGCACAACGAGATCACCACCACCTGCAACACTCCACACTTTACCCACTGCACACTCCGCACTCGACATTTTACACTCCACACTCAACACTCTACACTTTACACTCCACACTCCACACTTTACACTCCACACCCCACACTTTACACTTTACACGCTCACTCCACACTCTACACTTTACACTCCACACTTTGCACTTTACACTTTGCACTTTACACTTCTCACTCCTCAATCCACACTTTGAACTCGACACTCCACACTTTACACTCCACGCTCCACACTCTACACTTTACACTTTACACTCCACACTTTTACACTTTACACTCCACGCTTTCCACTTTACACTCCCCACTCCTCACTCCACACTTTACACTCCACACTTTACACTCCACACTCCACACTTTACACGCCACACTCCACACTCTACACTCCACACTTTACCCACTGCACACTCCACACTTTACACTCTACACTCCTCACTCCACACTCTGCGCACTACACTCCAGACTCCACACTCCACACTCCAGACCCCACACTCCACCACACTCTACTCTACACTCTACACACACCACACTCCTCACTCCTCACTCCACACTTGACACTCCACACGCCACACTTTACACTCCACACTCCTTACTCTACACTCCGCGCTCCACACTCCACACTCTACACTGCCCATTTCACACTCCACACGCGACACTTTACACTCCACACTCCACACTTTACACTTTACACTCTCACTCCACACCCCACACTTTACACTCTACAATTTAACACACTCTACACTTTGCACTTTACACTCCTCACTCCACACTGTACACTCCACACTCCACACTTTACACTCCACACTCCACACTCTACACTTGACACTCTACACTTTACACTCTACACTCCACACTTTACACTTTACACTCCATGCTTTCCACTTCACACTCCTCACTCCACACTTTACACTCCACACTCCACACTCTACACTATACACTCCACACTCCACACTTTACCCGCTGCACACTCCACACCTCCACGCTCCACACTCCACACTCCAACACACTCTACACTCTACACACACCACACTCCTCACTCCACACTCCACACTTCACACTCCACACGCCACACTTTACACTTTACACTCCACACTCCTTACTTTACACTCCGCACTTCACACTGCACACTCTACACTGTCCACTTCACACTCTACACTTTACACTCCACACTCCACACTTGACACTCTACACTCCACACTCCACATTCTACACCTTACACACTCTACACTCCCCACTCCACACTTTGCACTCCACACTCCTTACTCTACACAAAGTTTGCACAAACTACTTCGCAGTACTACTGTGTACTACAAAGCTTGCACAAAGCACTTCCCAGTAGTACTGAGTACTCCAAAGCTTGCACAAAGCACTTCCCAGCACTACTTTGTACTACAAAGCTTGTAGACACTACTTCCCAGTACTACTGTGTACTACAAAGCTTGCACAAAATACTTCCCAGTACCACTTTGTACTACAAAGCTTGCGTAAAGTCGTTCCCAGTACTACTGTGTACTGCAAAGCTTGCACAAAGTCGTTCCCAGTACTACATTGTACTACAAAGCTTGCACAAAGCACTTCCCAGTACTACTTTGTACTACAAAGCTTGCACAAACTACTTCCCAGTAGTACTTCCCAGTACTACTTTGCACTGCAAAGCTTGCACAAAGGACTTCCCAGTACTTGCACAAAGTACTTCCCAGTACGACTTTGTACTACAAAGCTTGCGCAAAGTACTTCCCAGTACTACTTCGTACTACAAAGCTTGCGCAAAGCACTTCCCAGTACGACTTTGTACTACAAAGCTTGCAGACACTACTTCCCAGTACTACTTTGTACTACAAAGCTTGCACAAAATACTTCCCAGTACCACTTTGTACTACAAAGCTTGCGTAAAGTCCTTCCCAGTACTACTGTGTAGTACAAAGCTTGCACAAAGTCGTTCCCAGTACTACATTGTACTACAAAGCTTGCACAAACCACTTCCCAGTACTACTGAGTACTCCAAAGCTTGCACAAAGCACTTCCCAGCACTACTTTGTACTACAAAGCTTGCACAAAGTACTTCCCAGTACTACTTTGTACTACAAAGCTTGCACAAAATACTTCCCAGTACCACTTTGTACCAGTAGTACCGCACAAGGCGGTGGCGGAAGTTTCAAAAATAGGAAACCTATAGGAGAGGTTGGTTGTTGCAAATCAGGGATGGCAGAGCGAAGCCACTGATGGACTGAAAGGTGCTTGATCTCTTTCACTCTTTCTCTCTCTTTCTCTCTGTTTCTCTCTGTTTCTCTATCTTTCTCTGATTATCTACCGACCTACCTACTGATCTATCTGTCTACCTATCTATCTGTCTGTCTGTCTATCTATCTCCCTATCTATCTATCTATCTACCTATCTATTTCCCTATCTATCTATCTATCCATCTATCTATCCATCTATCTATCTATCTACCTATCTTTTTATTTAGCTGTCTCTCTATCTATTTGTCTGTCTATCTATCTATCTATCTATCTGTCTACCTGTCTATCTGTGGTGCAGTGTCATTCAGTGTAATGTAGTGTAGTGGAGTGTAGTGTAGTGTAATGTAGTGAAGTGTAGTGGAAGGTAGCGTAGTGTAGTGTAATGTAGTGTAGTGTAATTTAGTGTAGTGTAATTTAGTGTAATGGAGTGTAGTGGATTGTAGTTGTGTAGTTGTAGTTGTAGTTGTAGTGTAGTGGAGTGCAATGTAGTGAAGTGTAGTGGAAGGTAGTGTAGTGTAGTGTAATGTAGTGTAGTGTAGTGGAGTGTAGTGTAGCGTAATGTAGTGAAGTGTAGTGTAATTTCGTGTAGTGGAGTGTAGTGTAGTGGAGTCTAGTGTAATGTAGTGTAGTGTAGTGTAGTGTAATTTCCTCTAGTGGAGTGTAGTGGAGTGTAGCGGAGTGTAGTTGTGTAGTTGTAGTTGTAGTTGTAGTGTAGTGGAGTGTAGTGTAATGTAGTGAAGTGTAGTTGAAGGTAGTGTAGTGTAGTGTAATGTAGTGTACTGTAGTGTAGTGGAGTGTAGTGTAATGTAGTGTAGTGTAGTGTAGTGTAATTTAGTGTAGTGGAGTGTAGTGTAGTGGAATGTAGTTGTGTAGTTGAAGTTGTAGTGTTGTGCAGTGTAGTGTAGTGTAATGTAGTGTAGTTGTAGTGTAGCGGAGTGTAGTGTAATGTAGCGTAGTCTAGTCAAGCGAAGCGAAGCGACATCTGAACCTCCAAAAGTGGTCCGAACCCCTAGTGTTTTTAACATTTTGACTTCAAAATGTGCTTCGCGCCACAACGGTGTGCACTTATTCGAGATCTGAACGTCCAAAAGTGGCGCGAACATGTGGTGTTTTGTACATTTTGACTTGGAAATGTGCTTCGCGCCACAACGGCGTGCACTTTTTCGACATCTCAACTTCAAAAAGTGGTCCGACCATGGTGTGTTTTGTACATTTTCACTTCGAAATGTGCTTCGCGCCACAACGGCGTGCACTTTTTCGACATCGCAACTTCCAAAAGTGGTCCGAACCCTTCAGTTTTTAACACATTTTACTTCCAAATGTGCTTCGCGCCACAACGGCGTGCACTTTTTCGACAGCGCAACTTCCAAAAGTGGTCCGACGCTGAGGTGTTTTGTACTTTTTGACTTCGAAATGTGCTTCGCGCCACAACGGCGTGCAATTTTTCATCACTCATCTGGCCAGCTGGCTCCGCACCCGCCGCTTTAGCGAGCCTACTTTTCGACCCTCCGGAGCCACAAATCATTGGAAAAATATAGTGTTTCGCGACTTTCCTACCTTTTCGCGCATCTGCATCTTCTTTCTTCTTACTCTTTCTCTGCTACTCTTCTCTCTTCTAATCTTTCTCTTCTCCCTGCCTCTTCCCTGCTCTGCTTTTCATCTGTCCATATTGTCGGAAGTTTGACTTCTAAACTTCCTTCGACTACAAAGCTTGCGTAAAGTCGTTCCCAGTACTACTTTGTACTACAAAGCTTGCACAAAGCACGTTCCAGTACTACTTTGCACTACTTAAATAATCCCGTTTTTTAAAACTAGTTATATATGTAAGTTAGGGATGTTAATAAGTAGTTGTAACTAGTTGTAACAAGTTCTAACAAGATGTAACAAGTTGCAAGACTAGGTTAAAACATTGTAACTAGTTATGTAGATAATATGAAATAGCATTTTTTGTTAAAAGTTCGCTAACTTCTTTAACTTAACATAAAATATGTTATTTTTGAGCATAGACTTAGCTAGAGTTAGCTAACTTTTAGCTAAAAGATAACCAACTTAGCAAGGGTTATAAAACGAACTTTTCAAAGATTTCTGTACAAGATGTTATGCTAAAACATTTTGCCACATGGCATTACAAGTGGCATTGCGTTTGCTATCTTGCTGCCACATGGCATTGCATGTGCAACCATTGGGCATGCATGTTTGGCCACATATATTGCATTGCAAACATTTGTCTTTGCACTTGCAGCCACCTGCTCCACATGCAATCATGAACTTAGAAATCCAAACTCAAGTGACCATCAGCTGCAATGATGCCAAAGCCATGGCTGTGCCCCCAAACTCGCATCCAAGAACATGATGATCGCAAGTGGCTGCAATTGAGACCAACATCCCAGCCATTGAACCAGATCATTTTTGGCAAGGAAGCCATCAAGAATGCTTCTTTCTCCAACCATCCAAGCTTCCAAGGTTTGTTCACCAAGAGAAACAAGATCTGGACCCAGGCAGATGAAGCCAACCAAGATCACATGGTTGAAGAGGAACACCAAATAGTGAAGCCCAAGAAGAGGAAGGTGGAGGGTGCCCCAGAGGTGAAAGAGGTGCCAGTGGGAGATGCCACCATTGCCTGCTTGATGCAAGTGCCACTGGAAGAAGTCCAGTTGAAGCCAATCTTCTTGCTCCTCCACCAGGACCAGGACAAGGAGTCTTTGAGGCACAAGAAGGCTTACAACAAGTCCAAGACCCAAGCTGTGCCAGCTGAAAGTGAAGAACCCAAGGCTTGAACAACATTGCAGGTGGCTTTGGAAAAAAGGAGTCTGCAGTTTCAGGCAACATCAGTTTGAGAGTTTTGCCTCATGGCATGTCAATTTATGCCAAGTATGTGGCATTACAGGTAAATGCAAGTGCTTCACATATAGCCACATTGGCATTGCAGCCTTGCAAACAATCATGGTGAACCATTTTACTTGCCTTGGCCCAGGCAAAGCTTTTGTAAAGCCAAGCTATACTTAACCAAAACCATCCATGTAATCTTGTTTCTTTTTGGAAGGCCACTTTGCCACAGATTCCAAACAGCAGCCATATATACTTCTGGATTTTCCGAAAGAAACCATGGCTGCAGCTGCCATGGTGGTTGACCCAGCTTGTGTTGCTGACATCGATGCCTTGCTGGGATCACAGACGCCAGTGAACCAGATTGTGGGCCGGTTGGTGGCTGTCCTCCAAAAATATGGGCTTGCTCATTACCAATCTGGTGTGACACCATCCCAGGTTCTGTGCCATCCCCACAACAGAGCCAGGCAAATGATTTCATGGCTGGACATGTGGGCCAAAAGCCAACAGATGTTGGCCATTGGAATGAAAAGGCAGTTGCTTGGGGAGAGCATGGCCATGGAGTTGACCAAGAGGGAGCAGCAGATCAACGCCAACAAGGCCATCATCAAGGAGGCAGCAGGTTCCATGGCACCATTGTGTGGCCAAGAACGTTTCTAGGCATACCCCAAGGCAATTTTTGTAGTTTCCACCAAAAGAATATGGCACAAGTCCTTGCATCTGCAATTGCTGTTTGTTACTTTTGTCAAATTGAGGTTGCCTCAGCCTCTCTGCTTCCCACACCACTGCATTTTTGAGAGCCATCCAACATGGCTGCACACCAGAAAGTGGACCAGCCATGGAAGTTCCAAGGGATGATACAGCATGGGACCTCACACAGATTGGCTGGCAATGGCTGATTTTTGGCCACTTGGTGGAAAAGCAGTGGCCAATGTTGCCATCCATGCTCCAAGGAGCCTTGAATTCTGCCAATGCCATCTCCAAAGCTGCCAATGAATTGGAATTGGCAGCCCAGCTAGCCAATTTGTTCCAGCATGGTGTGCCACTCAAGGAAGCCAAGAGCAAAGCCCAAGCCAGCACCACTGTGGAGCCACAGCTTTTGGTAGACCTTTGCCATTTTATCACCCAGTATGCTGGAGGTGATACATTTCCATTCATTGATTTCCTCCAGAAATTCAGTGCCTTGCCTGTGTTTGTGCCATTTGGCATTAAACCGAAGCCTTGTGGCATTTCATGTGTAATCACTGTCTATATATGTTCCCCAACCTTGTTTCCCATGTGTTTGTGGCTGCTCAGGCAGGAACTTCAACATCCAGCTCCAAGTGGGCCATGACATCTTCCAAGCCATGTGCTACACCAACTTCAAAGTGAGTGGCCAAATCTTCCCTCTGCTGAGGATTGCCATATGGGCTGCCATGTTGTGCACCCAAAAGCATCAGGACAACATCCAGAAGCCAATTGTGAAGGGTGACATTGACAGACTCAAGTCCCAGGGCAACTTGGACAAAGTCCAGCTGGCAGAAGAGCAGCTCCAAGCCAGCTGGAAAGTTGCCAAAGCTGGATCAGACCCAAGGTTGGCCATAAAAGCCTGTGGCCTGATGTGTGTCAGGACCATACTTCTCTTGGTTGGCAAGCAAAAGTGGTCCAGGGAAACCAAGACCTACAAGGATCTTGCTGCCATTTTGGTCCAGTTCACCACTGACATGAAAGGAGGAAGCACCAGCCTGCCAGAGGAAGACAAGCCAGAGACACCAACTGATTTCATGGCTGCCAAACCAGAAGATGTTGCTTTGCACCAAAACAAGCACATGAAGAAAGGTGAGCTGCATCATGGCATTCACTTGGAATCATGAATCTGTTTTGTTTGGTCTTTGTGGCTGTCCATGCACCATGACCTCAAACTTATTAAATTTATGTGTAGCCCTTGCTGGCCAGCCCAGGTACATTTGCAACAAGGAGCACCCCAGCCAAGTCTTCGAGTTCACAGCCATCAATGACCAGGTTGCGACCATGGTGCACTAGCCAGTGCTGGCAGCTTTGGTGACCATCCATGTACCATTCAAAGATCTCTTCAAGTGTAAAGTTGCAAAGGCCAAAATGCCAGAGCTCCTCCCTGCCACTACGACCAAGGATTTGCTTCATCAGCAGGTGCCCATGGCCAAAGAGGAACTGTCCAAGTTACAAGCCAGCTTGGCATTGCATGAAGTGGCTGAAAAATACCACTTTTTCTTTGCACCCAACTGGCATTTGGGCATTGGAGGCCATCAGGAAAGCCAAGGCTTTGAAGCTGGTGCCATTGGGGCATTTGACCAAATTGAAGGATCCACCTCCCAAAGAGTACTATTGCATAGAGCATGGTGGAACCAAGTGGCAAATCAATCCATGGAAGCAATATACCACTTGGGCTGATGGTCCCCAAAAGCAAGAATGCCTCATCCCATTTTGGTGGGTCAAGGGCACCAAGGAAAACTTCAACATGGAATTGGGCACCATCACCCACGGTTCCATCAAAGTACCATGCTTCCAGAATTCCAAGCCCTTGGCTGCCAATGAGCTTTTGCAGTACCAGAAGGCAGAGGACACCCAAGAGGACATTCCTGCCCAAGGGAGCCAAGGCAGCGCACCCAAGAAGAGAAAGACCAATTGATTGAAACCAACAAAGGCCTAGCAAGGCAAGGCTGCACATCAAGGCTGCACATGTTTTTCTTCCAAATCTGGTGCAGAAAAAAGCTGCTGCTGCATGCTGGGTGCCTTGAGGCATTGCATACCAGTTCCTGGGGAATGCATGCGTATTCCATTTAAAGTTTTTGCAGCATGAATAGCTTTTATTCTGATAATTTTGCCTTTGGAGGCTAAGCAACTTGGAATTGGGCAGCCAAGTGGCATTCCACAATGTTTTTTTCAGCCACCTTTCTTTATCAAAGGAAGTTGGGAAGCAATACTTCCGAGTTACGAATGACTTTTACTTGATGGAATTGACTATGATGAAGGGTGGTGCGTGATCTAACAATACATAACTTAACAATACATAACAAAAGAATAAGAAGCTATGGAATCGACTATGATGAAGGGTGGTACGTGATCTACCAATACATAACAAAAAGAATAAGAAGCTATGGAATTGACTATGATGAAGGGTGGTGTGTGATCTAACAATACATAACATAACAATACAACACAAAAGGATAAGAAACTATGAAATTGACTATGATGAAGGGTGGTACGTGATCTCAATAAATAACAAAAGAATACGAAGCTATGGAATTGACTATGATGAAGGGTGGTACGTGATCTAACAATACATAACAAAAAATAAGAAGCTTCTTGAAGCTGTGGTGGCAGATCGCATTGGAATGGCTGCATGAATGTTGCATCGGCTATGTTTTGGGGAGGAAGCCAGAGCACGAAACCTTGCGTTTTTCCGTGTAAAGTGGCTTCGGCCGGCGATGAAAGGTACCTCCTGTGTGCGGCGGTTGCGGCTGCGGTCGTTTCTGTCGCGAATTGGTTCCTCCTCTGTGTTTTGCAACGAGTGGTTGTTCCTGTGTGCGTAGTTCTATGCGTTTCTTGAAGCTGTGGTGGCAGATCGCATTGGAATGGCTGCATGAATATTGCATGGGCTATGTTTTGGGGAGGAAGCCGGAGCACGAAACCTTGTGTTTTTCCGTGTAAAGTGGCTTCGGCCGGCGATGAAAGGTACCTCCTGTGTGCGGCGGTTGCGGCTGCTGTCGTTTCTGTCGCGAATTGGTTCCTCCTCTGTGTTTTGCAATGAGTGGTTGTTCCTGTGTGCGTAGTTCTATGCGTTTCTTGAAGCTGTGGTGGCAGATCGCATTGGAATGGCTGCATGAATGTTGCATGGGCTATGTTTTGGGGAGGAAGCCAGAGCACGAAACCTTGCGTTTTTCCGTGTAAAGTGGCTTCGGCCGGCGATGAAAGGTACCTCCTGTGTGCGGCGGTTGCGGCTGCGGTCGTTTCTGTCGCGAATTGGTTCCTCCTCTGTGTTTTGCAACGAGTGGTTGTTCCTGTGTGCGTAGTTCTATGCGTTTCTTGAAGCTGTGGTGGCAGATCGCATTGGAATGGCTGCATGAATGTTGCATGGGCTATGTTTTGGGGAGGAGAGCACGAAACCTTGTGTTTTTCCGTGTAAAGTGGCTTCGGCCGGCGATGAAAGGTACCCTATAGGTCAGGCCAGGCTATTTGGAGCAAAATAGGTAACTCTAAAAAAATAGCCTTTATGAAGGTAATTTTGGTCGATTCTTTTTACCTAATAGGTAAAAAAAAATACCTTTGAAGTTAATTATTGAGGTCCTTTTTCAAGGTAATTTTTAAGTGTTAGTGTTTTTTCACTTCATTTATACATATAGTTTTTTTATTTTCTTTTGTTATATGGTATGTGTCTGATGTTCTCTTGGGGTGACTATATATGTGCTGCTGACATATGTGCATGGGGTTACTTCATGTATTTTGACAAGGTATCATGTTTTTTCCTTGGCACTTGGATTGGATCAAATGATTTGATCATGGGTAGTGTTTGTGTCACTGACAAAATTTATGAAACAAGAGCATGGCAGAAATGAGGAAAAGTCAGAAAAGGCATGAAACAAGATTATGGCAATAATGAGCCAGTCATACTTGGCAATGAAAAATTGTCCAAGCATGCATTCTGTCTTTGAAAGCTCAGTGAGGGCATCCTTCAAAATATCATTGATTTTTGGTCTTTCTTGTCTCTACCAAGTCGCTCCTGAACCAATTTGGTTTCTTTGATGTCATGCTGCACACTTGCCCAGCTCAGTTGAAAAGGAGCATCAGAAATCGCTTTTGGCAATGCTGAGGATGAAGTAACCACAGCTGGTGTAGAGGAAGCACTGCTACCACTACCACAACCACCACTGCCACTACCACAACAACTAGCTCCAGTGCCAAACTGGCCCCAGGGCCTGCTCGACATGAATTGACTCACCTGCGAACTCTTATCCTTGGTGAGCTTGGCTTGCCCACCATGCAAGACCATGGAACTGCCCTGCTTCTTCTCAATGGCTGTGGCTATTGTCTTGACATGATAGTAACCATCTTTCTGATAGACATCACCTCGTCTTTCTGCATCATTCAAAGCTTGCTGGTTTTCCTGGATTTTGTCCACAACCTAAGCCAACCCAGTAAACTGAAATTTGTTGGTGCAAATCTCAGAGTTGTTCTTGAAAACTTCGAACACTGGGTATTTCCAGGAGCAAACACAGACTCGCCTCTGGTGTTCTGCTGAAAGACTTTGTTGATGAATGGACTCTTAAATAACCTTGGGGGAGGAGAATTCTTCAACCCTCTTCATAGAGCTGCTGAAGATCTTCTGGCACCTGGCCACTTTTGATCATTCTGGCACATTTCCTTACCTTGGGGTAGCTTCAATGCTCATCGTCAACAACTGTTGCATCCTCCTCTTTAGGCTCCTCATCTTCTCCTTCTGCATGGTCATCAGGAACTGGCTCATCCCTGGTCTTCTTCCATCCTGCTGCCATCTCCTTGACAGTCTTCGCTTTGGCCTTGGCTTTCGCCTTCAGCTGCATCAGGTCTTTTCAGGATTTTTCTTCATTGTGCTCTTGGCTTTTGCCTTTTGAGCTTTCATTGGTGAAGAAGTAACCCCAGGAGCTTTGCTGGCAGCAGCCTTGGCTTTACCTGCTGCCTTTGCCTTGGCTTTAGATTTTGCTTTCACCTTGGCTTTGGCCTTTGCCTTTGGTGCTGCAGTATCCAAGAATTCAGGTCAGCTCATGGGGCAGTTTCTTCTGGAGAAGCCTGTTCTACAGATTCTGGTGCTGGTTCAGGTGGAGGCAAAATGCAAGCATAGCATCAGGTGGACAAGCAGGCCTCTTCATGAGGTTACCAGCAGGGGCGACAAGTGACAAGTAACTTCAATCTTGAGAACCAGTGTGCTACACAGATGGTATTTGCAATTGGGGATGTCTCAAAATAGGGGGCCCCAAGCCCTTGTTTTTTAGTGTGCAAAACACAGCTTTGGGGCACCCCTATTTTGAGACATCCCTAAGTGTACACTTGACGTAAATTCCAGCCTTTCACCAAAAGTAACTCCATGAAGAACACGTTTTGCCCATGATGATGTCAGAAAAACTTACAACAGAAATACCAAAGACCTTGTGAATGTATCAATCAACCAATGTGATATCTATAACTCACAATGGATGTTGCATGGCTTTTTCATTTTCATTGAACAAAACAAAAAAATAGAACTGGAGATGTCTCAAAACGTCTGAAAATTGGCTCCCAAAACCGAAGCCTAAAATGTTCAAAAATTGGTTCCACATGGGTACCTTGGAAAATGAAAGGTGCTTTAAGCCATCTTAAGGTACCTTTATTTTTTTGGAAAAATAAAACATTAAAATTAAAGAAATAGAAATGGAGATGTCTCAAAATGTCTAGAGCAATTATTTTATTGCAATTTCAGTATTGTACATATCTTATTTGCGTTGTTATTTATGTGCTGCTCTTGTCCTATGATTATTTTGATGAAACTCTAAGACGTAATGTGCCCAAATATCACTGTGGATATATATATATATATCTATCTATCTATCTATTTATTTGTTTATTCATTTTTATTTATTTATTTATATGTATGTAAAAATACACATGTATTCAGGTGGTGTGGTGTTATTAGTCATTAGTTGGCTTGGGGTTACAGCTTTGCAAACCAAACCCATTGCATGCCAACCAACCCTATAAGGTACCTTGTAATATGAAAGGTATTTTAAACCACCCTTAAGGTACCTTCTATTTCTTTTTAGCCAAAAAAAAAGCAAAAAAATAGAAATGGGAATGTCTCAAAAATGTGTAATGAAATATTTGATTATAGTTTTCTGTATTTACATGTGTTTTTCTTTTGTTATTTATGTCTGTTCACCTAATGACCTAATGTAATTGCTCTTGCCCTATGATTTTTTGATGACATTTTAAGGCATAATTTGACATAATATACCCAAATACTAATGTGGAGGCATATGTGTATTCATGTGCTGTGGGGTTATTATTTGGTTTGGGGTTGCTGTTTGCAAACAAAACCCATTGCATGCCAACCAGCCCTATTAGGTACTTTGTAAAATAAAACAGTGCTTTAAGCCCCCTTAAGGTACCTTTTCATTTTTTGGGAAAACATAAAACAACGGTCCAGTGGTGCGTCAAGACGCGCCTGAAATGCTGCCAAGTGACGTCATGTTCTATTTTCTATGGTTTTGGCGGTGTTTTTGTTTTTTTCATCTACTTGTGTCATGTCATTTCATGTTTGGTTTTTTAAAATTTTGAGCGAAATTTCCATGGCACCACAGTTTCGCGCATGTCGCACGGGGCTACAGCGACATGCATCTTTTTGTCGTAGTTTCGCTACAGTGAAATGGCATTTTTTACCCACATAATTTACTTTTTTTTTGACTTGGATTTTTCACATAGCAGTTACATCATCTTGCACGGGGCTAGTGCGAAATGAAGGTTTTTAGTCTTTTTCGTGTTTTCGTTACAGCGAGGTGCACCTTTTTTGATGTATGGTATGGGTGATTCTAGTTTCAATGAGTTGTGTGTGTGTGTTTGAATGTGTTTTCAGCTGAATACGGCATTTGAGAGCATTGGAAGAATCCACAGCTCAAAGAA